GAAGCTGTGGCTGCCCCATCCCTGGAAGTGTCCGAGGTCAGGTTGGAACCTGGGCTAGTGGAAGGTGTCCCTGCCCATGGCAGGGGGTTGGATGAGATGATCCTTAAGGTCCCTTCCAACCCAAACTATTCCAGGATTCTCCAATTCTGTGTAAACATCCCAAAAGTAGAAAATTCCCATAATGTCTGAGGAGTGAGTTAGACAAGTTAGACAGGATTTTTTGGGAATAATCACCCTCAGGTTTGCAGTGGGACTTGGAGGCTGCAGTGGCTGTTGCTGAGCCTCTGTCAGGGTCCAGACACGTGTTGGGGACTTCTTTTTCCTGTCTTACACAATACATGACACATCAATAGATGCACTTGCTGCATCATATCCATGTTTGTCTTCCAGCTCATCCCGCCTCCCCTCAGCCCCCGCCCTGCTCCGTTCCCGCGGAAGGGCTGGATTTTTGCTCTACTTATTTTTCCCACCACATTAGGCAATAACATATCAGAGCAGAACTCGTGGTGCCTGGTGGGCACGGAGCCAACTGTCTGAGGACAGGCTGCCAAATCCCATAAAAAAGGGAAGCGTCTGGCACGCGAACCCCGAACGTGGCAGGAAACGTTTCGGGAACGGGAGACGGCGAAGAACTCGCGTTGCACATTTGGGACATCTGGGTGGTTTCTTCCTCTGTCATGGAGAAAACTGGTCTTTTTTATTTTATTGTATGTACCTGTTCCTTCCTGCGAGACAAGGAGTCTTGTCATAGAATTCCAGAATCCCAGGATGGATCGGGCTGGAAGGGACCTTAAAGCCCATCTCGTTCCAATGTAGCAGGGTCTGACTCCGGCTCATAACCATGAATCCAGGGATGGTGCTGCCCAAATCCCTTGGGATGGGGCCTGGCTCTGCTCCCACAGGCTGGGGAGTTACATGTTGGGCATCAAACAAACCCTCTGCTCCTTCACATCTCACCAGGGGCCATTTGCCAAAAGCTTTCACCGCCAGGAGGGTTCAGTGCAGCAGCCCCACAGCACCATCAGAGAGCCATGGGATGGGTTGGGCTGGAAGGGACCTTGAAAGGACATTTAGTCCAACCCCCTGCCATGGGCAGGGACACCTCCCACTAGCCCAGGTTGCTCCCACCTGGCCTTGGACACTTCCAGGGATGGGGCAGCCACAGCTGCTCTGGGCAACCTGTGCCAGGGCCTCACCACCTGAACAGGGAAGGATTCCTTCCCAATATCCAACCTAAATTTCTCCTCTTTCACTTTCAACCCATTTTCCCTTGTTTTATCACTCCAGTTCTTGGTGAACAGTCCCTCTCCAGCTTCCCTGTAGCTCTTTCAGATCCTGGAAGGAGCTGTGAGGTCTCCACACAACCTTCTCTTCTCCAGGCTGAACAGCCCCAAATTCCTCAGCCTGTCTCCTTGGGGAGGTGCTCCAGCCCCCTCAACTTTAGGCCCTCCTCTGGACTTGCTCCACACTTCCACATCCTCCTTATGTTGGGGGCACCAGAATGCTGGGAATGTGGTGCTCAGGTGCTCTTTCAGATGAGCTGCCTGGTTCAGATCACACTGTCAGGCTTTGAGCACCATCTGCCTCCAGGCTTGGCCCATGGACATGTCCAACTGCTGAACACAGACATGGGAACTGAGCCCTCAGCTGGGCTGGAGGTGCCCTGGCATCATTCCCAGCTTGCTCCAGCCTCGGGCACAGCTGGCAGCCCAGCACAGGGGTGGGAGAGGATCCACATCCTGCACTTGGGCACTCCATGCCAGGGAATGGCTGGGAGGAGGAGGAGCTGATGGTTATGACTTTAAACTCTGCAGGTTGTCCTCCTTTCCACCCCAGCAGTTTGGAGGGGAAGCTCTCAGGCTAAAGAGACACGACTGTTCTGCACCAGCTGGCAAAGGGCCCTGGGGGGCCAAGGGCAGATCCTGCACTGGGGGACGGGATGGGGCAGCTTTGCCCCCAGAGAAGCTGTGGCTGCCCCATCCCTGGGAGTGTCCAAGGCCAGGTTGGATGGGGCTTGGAGCAACTGGGGCTAGTGGGAGGTGTCCCTGCCCATGGCAGGGGGTGGGACTGGATGAGCTTTAAGGTCCCTTCCAACCCAAGCCATTCCAGGATTCTGTGATTCTTTATTCATAGGAGAATTCAAGAAATCTGCAAGAACATGACATTTTTAAGAACTGGACATCAGTGTCAACTTGGGCTGAGAGAATTGGGATTGTTCAGCCTGGAGCAGAGAAACTTTGGGGTGACCTTGACTGTGGCCTCCTAGTGCCTGAAGGGGCTACAAGAAGATGGAGAGAGACTGTTTACAAGGGCCTGGAGTGACAGGACAAGGGGGAATGGCTTCCCACTGCCAGAGGGCAGGGTTAGATGGAATATTGAGAAGGAATTTTTCCCTGTTCAGGTGGGGAGGCCCTGGCACAGGTTGCCCAGAGAAGCTGTGGCTGCCCCATCCCTGGAAGTGTCCGAGGTCAGGTTGGAACCTGGGCTAGTGGAAGTTGTCCCTGCCCATGGCAGGGGGTTGGATGAGA